TTTTCAGAAATAAAAGGTCTTAATTAGGCATATATGTAATAAAAGTTTCAGCTCTCTACATCAATAAAAAGTATGAAAAATATCATTAACAGTTTTTCATCAGTTATTATCGGATACCCATTATTTTTCCTTACTTTTGGGCCACCCTGTATACAGTCATTTTTAGGTCTTTTCGTAAAATGCTCATAAAAAATTGAGGGATCACTATTTTTTGAATCGGCTTGCGTCAAAATTCATAAAACTCTTCCCTCTACAACATATCTTAAATTGAGTACAATCTGACGATATCGATTGAGCAGCTTCTCTATAATTCGGTCGTGGCTTACGTGGACTGGCTCATATATAATAATGTTTTTTGAGCTTAATTCTAATATTCTCTCAAAAAAAAATCAAATTCTCTCAAAAAAGGGCTTTTAAAAGCTGAATAATGAATTCAATTGATACTATATTAAAATTCGGACTATTTTGTCAATCGATGCATGCATACAGTTATAAACATTGAACTGGCACGACAAGTTATCAACAATGAGCCACATTCAACTTATAATGATCTTATAGTTAAGAATTATCCTTTTTATGGTAGAATAGAACACACATTATCAACAAATATCTAAATATGAGAAAAACTACATCATATTGGTGTCACATTAGCTCAATGTGAAACAATAGCAAGAACGAATTAGAAATGCTCGTGAAAACTTGGCGATCAAGTAATATTATTACAGATGATGAGATACGAATTTACCATAGACAGGTTGAGCGTATGTCAACTAACATAAGCTGGATTAGTGAAGGTGATTACCAATGACTATTTTTTGCTGAAGTAGCTTTGAACCAACAACTTTGTTTTCTATATTGTTTAAATCCAATGTACCTGACTTTAACATAGTGTAGATAATGACAAGACTATAGATCACAACTATGATATTAATAATTGCCTCAAGCTTATTCCCAAGTCGAACAATACGACACGTAAGCAACCGTATACAGCTAGATCACGGTATTTTTCGACCTGAAACAGGTGGCTTCTTATGATGCCGTATACGGTGTTCATTGACGATGCTCTACGGAGGGATGTCATCATATCCATAACTCAAATATCAAGATTCACAGCATATATACCTATTATCAAAGGCGGCGGAACGTATAGGCTGGATAATGCCTGAGCTTCACCCGAACTATGCATTTGAGACTTGGTCGCATCCAAGTTTAGCTTTATTCGAAAAGGCGAATCTTATATTACTGTGTGGATTGATATCTCTATCACATTTATTTATATGTTGTGATGAAGAGAATTCAAGGACTGAGACAACAGTAAATTCACTAACTGTGTTGTCATGGTTCATAGCAACACCTTTTATCTTATTTTCAAAAAGTGACATGTAAACTACATGAATCGTAGAATTATGCTATCTATAGGCATCAAAACTAGTTATATTAGCTGGTACATCTTCTCTTTTGTGATGAAATCATTCTCTTCATTTTATTGAGTGCAATGCAATCGAAATAATTATTTAAGATTTCAAAAAAATTCACTAAATAGTTACAGCCTGAAAACAGTTTATTGTTATACTTATTTGAATATCTAACTAGTACTCCTATGTTTTGAATGCATTTGGCGTAATGATCGTACCGATGTGGCAGAATATTATTGTATTATTCTTGCTAATCGAGATGAGATTTCACGTTTATATAGATACTGATCAAATAAATGATACTCTCTTTCCAGCATAGTACAGTAGTAATCACTTTTCATCAAAATAAAATATTAGCAAATAGCATTGACACGAAGATCGTTGATACGTGATCCACTCGTAACTACACTTGTTCGTATAAAGATGCTGATCATTATTTGTCAGCTTAGTCCCATTCATAATATTCAAGTTCTTCAGTTTTTATATGAAACTGATAAATTAAGGAGAAAGAGTTTTCTTGATCTTCCTACCACTCAATTGAACAATATGAATTTGAAACCATGAAGCGTTGATTTGGAGTGTGAGTGAAGTTGTGGAGTGCTGATGAATAAAAGATTATAATACCCATGCCCACACTTCAGATATAGATGAACATAATGACGATGTTATACGGTGCGAATTTGCGAAAAAATCATGAGTTTTTTTTATCCATTCTAAACTATTTTCAATTTCATGCGGTAGATTATTTGTTTTGTTGACTGTTGCCACTAGCCGACCTAATAACATAATAAAGATATGATTTTATCAACTAACAAAAACCAAGTCACCAATCACATAATTTATGATTGAAAGTGCTATAGTTACTTAGGGAACTTTAATTTTTAACCATGTGACAATGAATCACTGTTTCATTGTCATTGTTTTACTGGTTCAAATCGGCTGTCGGTTTTAATCTGTATAAAGTGTTATAAAACAGTACTAACAGATACAAGCCGGTATGAGTCTAATACTGGTTTATATTACGGATGTACAGCTCACGCTGATCAGCGTGAGCGACTTTTCTGACTCGAATAGGGTAGGAAGATTACTAGTTTTTATAAAGCTTGATCAGAGATGATCGAGGCCGAGAAAATCTAATCTATAATTAGTTTTTCGAAATTTTGAGTTTGATTCTTCTGCAAAAAATATTTTTCAGCAAAACGATATCTTTTTAAAAAAATCAAGCTTATCTTCCAAACCACGATTATAGTTGCGGATTTATCAATCGCGACTACCTTTGGTCCAGTTTTATAAAAAAAAATGTAATTTCTCTCCCCTATTCGAGTTAGGATAACTGTTCACGATGATTAGTGTGAGCCCTAAACTCTTAATATAAACCTGTATGAGCCAGTTTGAATCAGTATAAGCCAGAATGGCTTGCACAGGCTATCATCATCGTCGTATGCCTATTGAGAATGATGAATATTGAAAAAATTTGTTATGAATAGAGTACCCGTATAAACCATTGTAACATTGATTAGAAGATAAACCCGCTTTTTGAATCAATAGAAATTAAACAAGCACGCTTATTTGAGAACGATACAACAATTTAGTACCTTCTTTCAAAAATATGGCTAAAGAACTAGTTATGAGTTTTCAATGCATTTAAATTCTGTGTTAATCTATGGTCTGTTAATAGTTTAATGCATTTATTGCTTAAGGATTATTGTGCTAGGTCTGCTGTCTCAAAAACATTTCAGTTCTTGGTTTTTAACAATTTTATGTCAGATAGTACAAGAAAAGACGTTCATTATACGAGAAATTTCATCCGCATCGCATTTGTCCTTTGCTTCATGAATTAAATGTCAATCATAGATTCATTGACAAACGAATAGCAATCGAATAAGAAGTCATTTTTATCGAAGTCAACCACTCTTTCGAAAACATGCTAATCTCACTTAATATATACGGTTAACATCTGACATTTGACAAAAGTCATCAAACGAAAGCTAAAAAAACCTGTGAAATACGCTTCAAGGAAATTCGTTTATCAAGCAGCAATTTTGTATTTGTATCATACTGTACATAATGCCGTTTTATATTTTTTTTTCGTTCTACCATTTATAAATAGTTTTGACGTTATTCGAACAGAAAAAAAAGTATATATTAATATTCATTATGCCTTTATATTTATGAAGATTAGGTACACTTACTCGAAGGATGAATAAAAATAAAATGAAGAAAAAGACCTTGATACAATGGTTTGCTGCTCGACTACTTTGCATGACACATCTAATTCTTTCTATATATTTCCTTCTTGCAACCCGAGATGTTCGTCATGTTTTCTTTATTCCAATTATTGGTATTGGTATTATCTTTTTGGAAATAATCATAACTTCTTTGTTAAAATTTCGTTATCAAAACTCATTTATTTTATTATTTGTTTATTCAGTTTGTATTATTTCATCAATATGGTTTCTTGAATTATATAGAATAAATTATTTAGTTACGGCTGAAAATCAACAAGCAAGTGTAGAAATTTTTTCTGTTATCTATTATGCTGCTCTTCCCAGTGATAATAGATTCTTTTTATATAAGAAATATTTATGGTCACAAATTCAAATCCAAGGTTATGTGGTTTTGATGGTTTTATTGAAAGGTTTGTGTGAAAAAAAAGGTCAAAAGTTAGATATTATAGTTAAAACATGGGCAAGTGCACTGGATACTCTCGACTTTATTGATCTTCTTAGTCATCAACAATTATATTCTGATCGTGTTTTTGTCTATATTGCTCTTTCTGTTTGGTCGATTAGTTGTTTTCAATATGTTGCGGATGTGTCTATCATAAAAAATATATTATTAAAACACAATTATCAACGTTTAGCATCTATAATGACATATTCATTATTAAGTGTAATAATTATGGATGTTCCACATTTAATTGTACGTCTTTATGCTATTATTGGTGTTAGACAACATGATTATACAAGTTATTTTCTTGTTTTTAAAAATATTTTTATAATTATATTACAAATAGCAGATATTTGGACAGTTTTTAGTAAAACTCCAATGAAGAAGAAGAAAACAAAACCTACTTCTGTTTGAGCATATACTAATGAATTTAATATTAATACATATTACATCCGATAAAAAAAGAATAATATCATTCTGATTAAACTAGGCTTAATTGTGATTAATTTTATGTAATATTTTATTATATCTATTCAAATGAAAACTATTCATTACTTGTGTCATAAGTTTGTGATATAAACAATGTTTTCATTGATATAACTTTCATGAAAATATTATTTCGAATATCTTCAACTATATATTTACATGAGTTTATGTATACAACTTCATCTCTAAACTTACTTGATTCTTGTTTGTCATTAATGGAGATTTTTCAGCAATGAAAATAACAATATGATCATAGATGTGAATTCTATTCAATGTACAAACTTAAAACTTTAGATAAGTTAATGACATAAAAATCAGATGAAATGTAATTCAGAAGCAATCTCATTTATATATTTTGAATTGTTCACTGGAGTTTAAATATCATATTCTTAATTATTACAATAATAGTTTCAGCATATAACAAAAAGAAAGTTTCGGATCTAATAAAGACAAGTAAGAAAACATTTATCGATAATTCATCTATATTTATTAACTACATCAAAAACAATGCTTTTCTGTTTTATTCAAAGATATCAATGGAAAAATTCAATAGTTCTTTCTCATCTTACATTTTAAGAATTCTATATTTGAGTTACTAAGTCCAAGTGTCAAAGTCATACAAATTATTATCATCTGCATCGATAATATTTTTCAGTTGCATTATTTGGATTCTGTTTTTTTTTTTTTAGTTTTCAATAATTAGTAGAATCTTGATAATATTTTTATTTTGAACATATCAAATGATTCTTTTTCTGTAGAAACTTTTTTCATAAGAAACTCAACAAATAATATGAACTATTAATAACTGACTTTTCTTTTCTCTTTCTCTAACTACTTTCTTCGCAAGAATGATGTTACTATAAAATCACGACTTATTGTATAGGAACTAGTGGAGTTGATACTATTGTGAAACACGATCTAAAAGGAGTGTTGAAGTGTTTAGGGATAGAAATTTGGAC